GTACTGCGCATGTCTACATACCTAACACGTACTACGCACGCGCATGACGTCACCGTTTTCAAAGATTCCCGTATTGGGTGTTTACACGGAAACGATAACGGTGGCATTTTCAAAAACTTGCACTTTAAAACCCGTTTTCAAAAATATGCGTTTTCAGTCCCCAAAACGCCGTTATCGTGTAAACGAACAGGCAAAACGCATAAAAAGTTTCCCATTTTTGGCTGAAAACGTTGTCGTGTAAACAGCCCCTAAGGCCCTGTCCACATGAACGCGGTTATTTTTTTAAATTTTACATTTTTAAAACCGCAGCTTTTTCTACGCGGTTTGGCCGTTCGTCCACACGCAAACGCAGCACCAGGTCACTGAAACCGAACATTTTTTAAAACGCCTGCCAGGGTGAAAATTAAAAAAACTCCGGTTGCAGTGTTATCGTGTAGACAGCGAAACTGGAGTTTTTGGCTTGTGACGTCGGAGCCTGCGCTGTTATCTCCGTCTACTGGAAACTTTTTCAGGCTTCTGATTGGCCAACATGGCTTTACGGTTGAGATTATATCGCCACCTGTTGGTTTGGCATGCTCTTGACAGTGCTTCATAGCATGCGTTTGCGTTTTCATGTGGACAGAGATTTTTTTAAAAACGGAAGGAAAAACTCAAGAAACTCAAGAAGAAATATAAAAATGCCCGTGTACGTGTGGACATGGCCTAAAAGGGAAACTTTGTATTTGAACTCTTGTTGGGGACAACAGTCATGGGAATCCTTCGTTAGTCAGACGCTCTCGTCCATTTGAGCTGCCAAAAGGGTGAATCGAGGACAGATTTAGATGTGTAAACGCACGCAGAAATGTTTTACAATCACAATCAGTTATTGGGGTTGAAGCTCGACGTTATTTAGCATGCAGCATTTCTATGGAGAGTGAAAATGAAGTTATCTATAGATAATGACGCAGGGCTGGTGAGCAATTTATTTACGGTCATAAAATCATCATGAGTCTGTCCGCTCAAGGAGGTAATCATGTTTTAAAAGATTCAGCATGTGCAGCTTTGTTAAACTGAATCTTTTGTAGCTTATTGATTTTTATTGCATACGTCTGAGCAGACTCTTGGTGCTAATAGCTTCTGGATCTGGATCTCTACGTATTTTCTTTAAAACATGATTTGGAGGATAAAAATTCTGACTAAATTGGACGTCTCTGTTGCTATAATTACTCGATTGCTGAAACGGAGACCAGGCCTGTAAGGAACAGATGGTGTGCTACCCCCAACTGAAACCTTTCGTTTCATGAATGTCATTATAAACTCAAGTTTTGCACATTACATCCAAATCACATGAGAAAATACAGCATAAATCAAAGCACTGTCCAGGATGACAAATTAAATAAGTTTCAGAAGAAAGTTTGGAGGTGTTCCTCGGATCCCAGAAGTTTATGTTGTATTATCGTACAATGGAGACAGTTCTTGCTTCGTTGCATCCCATGTTCTTGCACAATGTGTATCAGTATTTGGTTTCATTAGACTTTCAAAAAGCTCCTTTAAAAACACATTTTACCATCATGCTGTTCTGAGGTGACAAGGGGAGAAGGAACGTTTGAGTAGTTTAGTCTCATATCATGGCTCATATGTTGATGGATTGCTGATTATTCACAATATTTCTAGCTCAGGGCTGTGACTGTGTTCCACTGGAGGAAAGTAGGCGGGTTCTTTCTCTTCCCGACCCCCTGCGCTGGAGTAAAACCCCGCCCTCTCCACGCTCCACCCACTCGCAGCGGTCGGCTCCGCCTTCTGAGCGCCGGGAGTTCTGTCTAGTTGGTGTTCTAGGAGGGCGACTGTTCTTCTCATCTAGCGTAGAGCAAAAAAAGGCTGTGGAAGAGTGGAAACATGCTGGAATAATTCATGATATGCGTCCGGTCTTACCTGAAAGAGTGTGCACCATGGGCTGATCATGAGCACTGAGCAACTGGGCTTGAATCGTTTCAACAACTCGTCTAAATCTGCGACTTGGACCTAAAAAATAAAATTCACACACATATACTCGTATAAATTCAGTGGTGTGTAGTGGACCAGCAAAATCCCCTTTATTTATATAATAATTTATATAATCATACAACAATCAAGTTTCATGATTTTTTAAATATTTTCTAGAAAATATCTAAAGGGCCGTTTACACGACAACGTTTTCAGCCAAAAACGGGAAACGTTTTATGCGTTTTGCCTGTTCGTTTACATGACAACGGCAGTTTGGGGACTGAAAACTGATTTTTTTTGAAAACGGGTTTCAAAGTGCAAGTTTTTGAAAATGCCACCGTTATCGTTTCCGTGTAAACACCCAAAACGGGAATCTTTGAAAACAGTGACGTCATGCGCGTGCGTAGTACGTGTTACGTATGTAGACATGCGCAATACGTGTCGATTTTAAAGGCAAGCGCGAACAAATCAAGCGGCAACCTCCCCCTCTCTCTCGTGAAGCCAACAAGGAAGTGACTTAAACTGTAATTCATCAACTGGCCGCTAGAGGCTGGCTGCAAAAGGGAGTCAATCCCATAGACTCCACATGTTAAAATGCCCAACTTTACCGCAGAAAAAAACATGTTTACAGCCTGGTTCAAAAAGTGGTTTTGGTCTATATAGCTAATTTTGCCCTTCATGACAACTGTGAGGGGGGTGAGTTTTTTTTATAACTCATCCATTTAAATTATTTTAAGCCTTACAGTTCTGCATAATGAAGGGCGTGGCCACTTGAGTGACAGGTGGATTGCCGCTGCTGTCACCACCGTCGAGCTAGGTGGGCGTGGCTTCAGCAACCTGCTCCCGCCTCTTTGCCCATTTTCGATTATCCGGGAGTGACGCGCTTCCAAGATGGCGACGGCCGCCTCTGCCCACTTTTGAGCTTCAAAAACGCTCTTCGGAAATCTACGGGTGACGTCACGGACACTACGTCCATGTTTTTATACAGTCTATGGAACAAATATACACAACAATGGCGGAATACATGGTATTGTTGTTGCTGTTTAAGAGTTTGCTAACGCTTCTTCAGCAAAGTGTGGATTTACTTCACCAATATTACAACCAACAGCGGAGACGCATCATATTATACATCATATAATCTTTACTTCCCTACAGGTACTGTTTACTAACAAGGTGACAGCGCCAACTACTGGCCTGGCATACGTAATACAGCGTTTTTGGCCGTTTTCGCGGATGTGTGTAAACGCAAATCGTTTTAAAATCGCAAGGGAAAAACTTTTCCGTTTTTGACTACATCGTTGTCGTGTAAACGTAGCCTAAAAGATTGCTCACTGTAAAAAAATCAATCCATTTAAATAGACAATGTATGTTTAATTTATTTAATTTTCATGGTTAAGGTCAATATAACTTTAACTATAACTTTTCTATAATAATTTATATAATCACACTTTTTATTAAAATCAAAGTCTCATGAACATTTTAAAATATTTTTAGAAAATATTAGTACTGTTCACTGTAAAAAAAAAAAAGCATTAAAATAGACCAAGTTTAAAAGTAATAAGTGTTTAGTCTAATTTAAATGTTCTATTTCATTTAATTGTAATGGAAATTATTACAATATTGAAGGCTAATGGAACACCATTTTATATGGTCTTGCTACAACATTTATATAATAGTTTATATAATGCTACTTTAAAAAAATCTAACTCTTGTGAATATTTTAAAATATTTTTATAATATTGAAAATTGCTTAAAAATTCTGCTACGATACACTAAAAATGAAATCCATATAAATGCTCCATGTAAGTAATAAGCATATTTTTTAATACTGTTTGTTGTTGTTTGCCTATTTGCATCAAGCTCAATGGAGGCAAAAGAGATGATGCCTCCCTATGAAACTTTATTTGCTGGTGTCACTGCTGGACAATGTAAAATTGAGTGATTTAAACACTATTTCATTTCATGTTTTGTTTTGTTTCTGTACTATAAATTAAAAGCTCTGATACACTTTAATGTAAGTGGGTAAATAAATAATAACCAAAATCATTTACAACAGATAGTAATACTTCTCACCTGATATGAGGCTAAAAGTTACACTGTAGATTCCGTAATCCTTCTGTCCATCCCTGTCTCTCTCCCGCTCTCGCTCTCTTTCCCCCTCAGAAAAGGAAATGTCTACCTGGAATTTGACGGGTTTCTGGAAGACAGACGGACCTCCAGAAGACTTATACTCTGCTCGGAAACTCGTCTGAGAGATTACACTGTGACTGAGGGAGGGAATCTGAAGACAAACGCAAGAGAGAAAGAACTCTTCCTTAACTGCTGTATACATTATTGCTGTTCTCCTTTGAACAGAGCTGTCATGTTCACTTATTATGGGTCAATTTGGTCACAATTTATGGGGGCTGTATTCGATTATTCGAGTTGCAGAATACAGTTGTTTTCAGGCTATTTCTTTATCTACATGGCACAATAGTGTGACAAACCTGTCGGTTATTGTGAATGTTACCCCGAGTGTGTGTCTCATCTACCCGAATCTGCCTTGTTGTCTCTATATTAAATATCCTTATTTGAATCCTTGTCGTCCTCGTCATCCTGCCTGCCTCCACACACCTGGACCGTGACATTATGGGGGCTGTATTCGATTATTTGAGTTGCAGAATACAGTTGTTTTCAGGCTATTTCTTTATCTACATTGCACAATAGTGTGACAAACCAGTAAAATATTTGAGTTATTTTTGTAAAATGATATAATATTTTATAGATATTTAAAAAGCTGAACAGCTTTCAACTCGACATAACGTCTTAAAAGTGTAGATTACATTATAAATGACATTGACATAGAATACAGTTATTTTGAACTGTAATAATATTACACAAGAGTTGCAGAATACAGTTGTTTTCAGGCTATTTCTTTATCTACATGGCACAATAGTGTGACAAACCAGTAAAATATTTGAGTTATTTTTGTAAAATTATATAATATTTTATAGATATTTAAAAAGCTGAACAGCTTTCAACTCGACATAACGTCTTAAAAGTGTAACATTATAAATAAATGACATTGACATAGAATACAGTTATTTTGAACTGTAATAATATTACACAATATTACTGTTTTTACTTTATCTTTGATCAAATAAAGCATTGGTGAGCATAAGAGACTTTCATAACATTAAAAAATCTCACTGACCCCAAACTTCGGAACGGTAGTGTATATGCGATCCATTTAGTTTATTAAAATGCTTAATCAACAGAGAGCTGCACAGATCAGCTGCTAGACTCACAGGAAGGAAGGCATGGACGATATCCGCTTTAATGGAACTAAGAGGTTTGTCTCTGATGACCAAAAAAATCTGCTCTTCTTTCTCCAGACTGATGAAATTCCCAAACCAGGACCTTTTAGCCAGCCTGTCGGACCACAAACACAGACAGACACTCAGATAATCTGTAAGACTCATCACAATGATGCAGCACACTGAAGAATTAAAAGCTGGAGATCATTATCATTAATATATTTCCCTAAATAGCACATGCTAGTTGCCATGACGTCTATGAGCATTGTCATCTGGAACATCTAATTTTTAGGATCTGTTAAACACTGAAGGGCTGTTTTTGCAACATTTATTATTTAGAATTCAAGTGAATCGAATTGTTTATTTTTTCACATGCAAATTGGGTGTTACTTAAAGGCACAGTAGCAAAAACTCTCAAAAATGAAAGGGTAAATTATTACTGTTTTTGGAGGAGAAAAAAAAAACTCAGGGAATAAATTAATGTAATATAAAAATGTACAACATACAGTAAGTCCTTTAAAAAAAAAGAATGCAGTGCTTTGCAGATGATTTTTCCAGATGATTATTTGGGTTGACAATCGTTTCTTACTCTGGGCTTGATTCTGGTGTTAAACTGGACATGTCTTCTGAGGTTGGCACTGTTGGGAAGGTAAGAGTAAGAATGAAACATAGATTGAATACAACCTGACATTGATTAAATTCAATTATTTGACAATTTTATATTTCAGAGGTTTTCAAACTGAGATACAGGGAGCCCCAAAGGGCCGCAAACTGTATTATTTTAGTCTAATATACTATTATAGTGTTTATATATATACATATATATATATTTTTTATTTATTTATTTTTTTTTATTACATTTTATTTTTTTATTCTTTTTTAAAATTTTTGTTAAAGTTTGAGTAATTTTGTTGTGTGTTGTATTATTTATGTCTATATAGTATTTATACATTTTTATTTATTAGTTATTTTAGTACTTCAACTTCAACTAGAAATGTTACATTGGCAACTAGCTGAAATGAAATATAAGACCAACATATAATATATAATATACATATAATATATATTATTTAATTTCAAGCAACCAAAATGTTTTTTTATGGTTTTATTTTAGTTTTAATTTTTGTTAATAATAACCCTGGCTGCAAAGGGACCTGCATAAAAGTTCAGAGAAAATGAAATACATTTGTAATAAATAAATTACTTTGATTATTATGTTTCATTCTGGTTTCCAATGTCATATATAATGGGAGCAATCATGTAATAAATTATTTTATTCTATTGACAGCCACAGTTTTATGTTTTTGTTCAAGTGAATACATCTGAAAGTACTCTAATAATAGAATTAGTACTCTAATAGTACAACAATGACACAGTGTCAGCTTAATAGAAGGTAAATATATTCCATATAATATTCTTATTTATCACATCAAAAATGGGTCTACGGCATCAAAACGTTTGAAAACTCCTTCTCTATTTGATTAAATTCTGAAAAGGAAAGATATCGGGGCCCACCCTGCATCTTGCGGCGGTGGAACCGCGGCGACCCCAACAGGTTGTTCTTCAATGAGTTGAGGCGTGTCCTCCAGTGGGCGGAGCTACTTGCCGCCATGCTGCCGCCTCCCCCTGGACTAGAGGGTGGGGTCAAGGAGAGTGAGCCCACGCCCACACTTCCTCCCTCGTTTTGCACTAATCAGTTGTTCCACAAGGTGGCAACACTGGCCCGGGCCATTATTTCACAGTAGAAAATGGAACTAAAGAGACAGAACAACAACAACAAAATACCGCAACAATAGACGCTTGCATTGACAAGCGCTTGTGTGAGAGAGTTATTAGATACTATGTTTACATTAGTTTAAAAGAGTACAAAGATATTTTTATCGCTAATAACTTCTGGAGAAAAATAGCGTGGATGCTGGATATTAAGAAACTTTCTAAAGTCCATGTGTCGACCACCTGTGTCCCTGCACGCTATCAAATGGAGTATACTTTGAAAGGCTACGCGTTTAACTGTATGCATACACTAGTGTACGCACACAAAAATGAAGTATACTTTGGGTCTAAGACTGAATGATGTGCATGTTCATGTTAACTCAGTCTAGTATGTTTGAGTAATAACAAAGATATAAGAAATGCTTTTGGAAAAATAACTAACAAAAGTTCCAAATGAAGACATTCATCTAAAAATGCAAATTTTGGTAACATTTTACAATAAGGTATCATTAGTTAACTAACATTAACTAAACAACTTTGTAAATAAAAATTTAATATTTCATAAGAATTATATTAATTATTTAACTGTACACTGCAGTGAAATTACAATATTTATGTTTTAATATCTTCACTTGCATGAGGCAAACTATCAGGCTTGGTTTTGGTGGAATTGAGGGAAGCCATTTAAACTTCTGTGACAACAGGTTTACAAACACTTCTCGTTACAATTCCAGTAAAATGATGTAATTATCAGTCCACAAAAATGCTGGAAATTATGCAAATGGTAAAAATCAAAGTGGCACACATTGCACATGCAGAGATGGAGTTTGCTGCATTTACTGTAAACCAAGCTGCTCTGAGACGCTGAAGACGTGAGATGCTCGTGTGTAAATGAACACAGTGCTGTGTTTCACTCTTAACGCAGCACAACAGACTATATACTTATTTATTTAAAATACACACTGCGGTGAGTGTCAAATCACTGTCGGAGAGAAGAGAGAGTAAGAAATTGTAGCTGGTATTGGTCTATCAATACTGCGGGAAAATGAGTATTCAAACATTTCTCGATCAAAAAAATCTTTATTTTTGACAACACTGCTGCTGAGTGACTCATCTCTTTAGTAGAAAAAAAAGGTTAGCAGACAGATACTTACCCTGGGACTACTTAGAGGACTAGACGAGAGGCCCGTTGATGCTCCACTTACAGATCGAGATCTATGCAGGAGTGTGGCAGTCAAGAGTCAGTAGTGCTAAATCAATATTTACAAAGTTCCATATATGAAATGGAATTTATGACTGCATGTGTACCTTTGGCTGTGCGAGGAGGTGTCCAGCGCTCTGCGCGGGGGTGTGGGAGAGCCCTGCTCCGTCACACTCAGCACCTCCAGACTCTTCCTCTCTGGCCGGCAGCGGCCGTGACGGGTCAACATGGGTGAGTCTACACGCTTCCGTGGAGGGTCTATATAGAAATACAAAACACAGAGTAGTGTGCATGTAGATCAAACAGTAGAGTATAGCAACACTAGCAACAGCAAGGTTGTGAGTTCAGTTACCAGGAAATATATAACTGATCAAATCTATACACTTTTAACCTCTTAAGAGCCACCAGTGGGCCTGTTGGTGCTCTTTTTTTCGTTGTCTTTTTTCTCTGTCACATACACATCATTTAAAGGCAGAGTAAGTGATTTTTCAAAAACACTTTAGAAAACTGATTCGGGCCGAATTGCAAAACAAACTTGTAGCCAATCAGCAATAAGGGGCGTGTCTACTCATGATGTGGAGGAGAGAGCTTTCAGTGCATGGGACGGACATTAGCCGAGCCGAGCGACAGAAAGATAGAGATGGCGGATAAAAAAACAAAAGAGGAAAACGTTTGCGGACATTTGTGACAGAAAAATGCATTAAAAAAATTCAATGGAGTTTTGATGGCACCCGGTGGCTGTTTGTGGTATAACGCCCTAAATAAAATCTCTCAGGAACCTCAATTTTTTTATATCAACTTCAAATTTGGAACATAACTGATTTAGACATAAGGCTAAGTAAACATAAGAATATTTTTATATATATATATATATATATATATTTTAGTAATATTTCAAAATTAACACTTGGACTGAAGCAATTTAGGATTACTTGATTATCCAAACATTTTTTTTTTTTTTTAGAAAAATTATGTTAAAATATCAGTAGCAAATATAATCTATCAGGTGTTTGTTTATTTGTTCATCTCTCAGTCATCACTGTATTGCTTTGCATTATATGCTTTCCCCCCACAATAAAATTCAGCATAAAACTAACCATTTAAATATCATCTACTAAGACATATTATTGGGAAATATAGAGTGACAACTGATATTTATATGCAAGATGTCTGCTATACTGTTATAAAGATCTAATTGACGTATATCACAAGCTATCAGAATTTAATTTTACTTTTTGGCCATATAAATATCAGCAATTGCATACTTTGGATCAGTTTGGGCCCCTAAATAAAATGTAGGAGTTTTTTTCCTCTGAGTATGAGCTCCATATTCTCCTATGAGCCATAAAAACCTGATTTATCAAATATGATATTCAACGATAACATATATATAAGGTTCAATACACTGTTCAATTAAAAAAAAAAAGAAAAAAAAAGAAGGTTTTCCTGACTATTATTTCATATGTCAGGCTTTACAGGGTTAAAGATTACCTCAATTTTTACATTTTCTGAATAGAAATGCTGCAAAAGTGCTGATGTTACACTCACTCTTCACACTGCAGGTCTTGGGTCAGTTTAACCCGGTCCCTGAAACAGCCCAGAGAATACATGCTGTCCAGCACATCTGGGTCCAGCTCTGTCAGAGACATGACCCGTCCCATGCTCACGCGCCTTGGGGGCGGCAGCTCCAGACACAGCTCATTGCGTCCAGCTCTTCATCACACACAAACAAACACACATAAGAACTTGAGCTGCTTGCACAAATCATCTGCGATCTTGCCTGTTATGAAAGACGCAAGCTGAAATCATTTCATAACATTTCAGTATAAATACAGTTCTATTTATGAAATGCAGCCATAAACACACACATAATATGCTGCTCTCACTCAAACTTTGTAGATTGACTGCAGTGATAATCAATATAAACAACCAGTACTTACTGATACCAGGCATGTTTCTGGATGGCCTCTAGCTGCAGAAGGACAACAGATGGTGTGATTAGTAGAGTCTGTTCACAGGCAGGTGGCGCTATAATGCTATAAGATTAGTGATGGGAGAAATTAAGCTTTTCGCAATTCTGAATCAGTTGAACCGACTGATCAAAACGCAGATCAAAGCAGTGTAAATGCAGCAAGACCTCAGATCAAACATGCATACAGATACCTGTTACAAACCAATCTATTAAATGTAATCTACAAATCATTACACTGAATGGTATTTAATGATTTGTAGATGAAGTGCTTTTTTGTAATTTGTGTTCTTTTTATTAATTTGTAGCACTTGTTTTTTGTTTTAAGGCAGAACTTGACTAAGTGGGGGAAAGTATAATGCTCTCTGACAGAGCATTTGAAATTATATTCAACTAGAAAACCGTTCTTTTGCATGAGACTTCTTTCAAAAACCATACAATCGTACAAAGTTTTAAACAGAGATGGTTTCAAAAGTAATAAACATAGACCTAAAGTAAATCCATAAAACTTCTATTAAAGGGGTCATATGATGCTGCTAAAAAGAACATTATTTTGTGTATTTGGTGTAATGAAATGTGTTTATGCGGTTTAAGGTTCAAAAAACACAATATTTTCCACATACTGTACATTATTGTTTCTCCTCTATGCCCCGCCTTTCTGAAACACGTCGATTTTTACAAAGCTCATCGGTCTAAAAA